TTGCTCCTTGATTATTTGGTACGTCTCCATAGCAGGAATGGGGTCTCGCGTACTACGAGCGAAGTGCCCCGAAGCTAGTCTCGGTCATTTTTCTCCAACAGTTTCCACGGTTTCCTGAAGCTGAGCGACGCAAATGGTAACGGTGACCAGTGCTCTTACAGAGCAGCCCGTTCTGCAGCATTCCCCTCGCGTCCCAGGAGCAGCACAGGAAAACCTTCTCAGAATGCTTGCCCGGTTTGAACTGCTATGATGGATCTTCTGCTCGGAAGAGACACACGGAGCTGTGTGGGTTGAGATCACGGAGGACCCCATCTCTCGCCTCCACAGAGCAGTACCAAGGGGTACCCGGGTGCATAGCGTGTCAACCCTCACGGTGTGAGTGATCCACCTAGCTAGTAATTTTCGATAGCAAAAGATTTACAGACGGTTGACGAGTGTCGGTTAGGTACGCCCGAGTCCTGTCGCAAGACTGCGGGTGATAGCCTCCGCATCTCCCTCGACAGCTTCGAGAGCGGCGGAGTCTTTCACTTTGTGTGTCCCGATCGAGGTTTGTCTTCGAGGATCGTGTCTCCTTTCGCGAAGCGAGCGAACCAAAGGTGGACAGTCATGATGGTAGTGGTGTCCTCCGCCAATGCACTGTTGATGTTGCGGACAGCTGCCGTGCTCCAGTGCCGCGGGGCCACTGATAGAAGATGATGACCCGAAGATGCTCCTGTGAAACTGACATCGTAACTAAATCCAGGGAAGAGGCTCCCTCACACACCTCTTGCAAGAAAGCTTCTAGAATGTTCTACAAGCATAGCATGTTACGTCATGTTCGAGCATCGAGAATCAAAAACTGTAAGCTTTCCAAAAAACACTGACAGGACTTTCTTTCCAACCTAATATTTTCGACAGTATAATCAAGTGCTGCAGCTACAGCTGCTAAATGTGCCGGCCGCCTTGTACGGTTTGGGTTTCTACCAGTTTCAAGCGCATGTCGCGGAATGCGCCACGTGGTCGTATATGATCTGCTTGTAGGGAGGGGGCCGTATGTGCAAACATCAAAAAGGAACAGAGCGGTGGCAACAACAGTAGGACATTACCCTTGGTTTTGTGCCCCGCGGTGTAGCACTGTATTTCCATCGAGCTGGGAATTCATGACAAAATTATTCGGTGAAAATGAAAAGACAGCATAGCAACGAGCTATTCACATGCCTTTCAGAAAGAAGCCATGGCTTAGACAGTAGCCTGATCCATGTTGGGTCCATATTCCACAGACCCTTATTTCGACAAATACTACGGCGATTCTGAATGGAAGACGAGCGCGTGGCTTATCCATAGAAAGGTTTCTCAGCGCCTCTAAGCTTCAGTTCCTATTTGTCACTGATAGCATAAACTAAAACTGTAGGACTCGAACCGCTGACCGGGCAAATGCGCTATCCTTTGTGCCACCGGGCCCTTCTTACCCTCCCAGCTCAATGGCATTTGTTCCATAAGTTATGGCCACTGAGCTGACAAGGGTTAGAGCGGCCGTCAATGGATAGCGCTCTTGCTCGGTTAGCGGGTATGTGAGTTGTCTGTAGTCCTGTCTGGGGTCTGACTAGGGCCTACAACTCAGCCATTCTTGTGATAAAGCGGGGTTAAACAGCACTTATCATATCAAAACAATTCACAAAAATATAAGACTCAATTTTAAGAATACATCGAATATGCAAGAATCAAAACTTGCTGCAACACACCTCATGTCTTGTAGCTGTCTGCTTGCGGTGACCCGTCAACGGTTTTATGGCATTACTTATTCCTTTCCTTGCATTTTGTTCTCTATAATCACATTATTACGTTATCGTCTGTACAGTAAAACACTACACAAAAGAGTATTAGAAATTGGTAAGGCAACACTCACGATAAACTTAGAATCAAACTTATTAATAATTATGTTTTGCTCCAGTTATTCCATCAATTATAACTGTGAATATTTCTGAATAATTAAGTGCGATCATCGAGACAAGTAGATCAAAAGGAACCTCCTTTGGACGCGTCTGGAGCCTGCCCTTTTCAACAAAGTCGCGAAAATTGTGGTCATTTTTACATTTGCGATTGTACGGTTCAACTCCTTACTGCATAAAAGCGTAAAAAGCAAGACCATAGAAAATAAACTGCTTTTTACATGGTACAGGAGCACCCGAAGAGTGAGTAGGGTCGGTGATGAGCCTCAAGGCAGCCCTCCCCAGTAATTCGTGGCCTTCTTCCTTGTGCAAGTAGTCCAGTCGCAAGCTAAGAAACTGTCCCACTCTCGCGACTCTCCAGCGAGTGAAGAGGGTGCTAGGCTGGTCGCCTAAAGTCCACTCCTAGCACCCGCTCAGTTGGGCCGCCCACCCAACGAATGTTCTCTCCACACCTAAAGCAGGAGTGCTCAGTTGTTGTTTGTTGGGGCGGGCATAAATGGGAATCGCGTGTTCAGTTGTGCTGACCAGGCTCGAACTCATAACTGGTTCTGCTCTCCTTTATCGCATTTTCTTCATTAGGAGCACATTCAGTCAACAGCAATCCATCTCGCAAAGTGAGACTTGTTCAAAACATCAATGATGCAATTTGGTGCAAAAGCTCAACGTGCACTGCTACCGTAATCCCAAATTCGTACGTAGGGCTTTCGAGAGTCTCTTTCAGTCACGATTTTGCTTCAGTACTTTTGTTTTAGTTTTCTTTTCTTTGCATGGGATGATATTCAATACTGGGATATGCAAAAACGACTTGTGAGCCATTGTAGGGCATCGCTGGGGATTCCCCAACAGGGAAATCGTATTTGGTCGCGAGGGGAGGGAGCGGTCGTATTAGCTTTCTGAAAATGTTGTTGACCTTTCGCGGTTTTTTTCTATTTCAGATGTACTATCCCCCCCCCTCCTACGCTCGAGAGGGAACTCGGGGAGGGGGTCGTATCGAGCCACCCCTTGAGGGGGATCGACCACTATTCCCATCCAATAATGTGACCTGAACCAGGGGCTGCACAGAGATCGCAGGGGGGTAAGACAGTCAGTGAGCAATTTTGTTCACGGTGTTTCTGGAGATCCTTTCTGCTTTCTTCTTCGGGGAATCCCTGGTCAGCTTCTGGCCGATGATTGAAGAGCAGCTGTCCATAAAACTTAATGGGGGAACTGTCTTTGAATCTTTGTGTTGCATATTCAACTTGAATTTTTGTAATCGATTTGCTATCATGAGTGATACCTTTATCATACCAGTAGATGACTAACTTGCAGAACGGGATATGTCTTTCGGCGGCGCTCTCGGTGAAGTTCCGACCACAGTAGTCACATTGCACATAATCTGAAATAGGCACCATTAGAAGCAAACTTGTTGGAATCTGAAGGCACCACGCTGGTCGTATGGGCTAAGGCGTAGATATAGCTCATTGCCTCTTTCCTACTGCCCTCGCTCTAAGATAAGGAGGAGGGAGAGGCATTGAAGAAGTTACAAGACTAGATGTCTCCGCCCACGCGATCCGCGTTTGCTCGGCAGCACAGCAGTTCTAGTAAACCATGGAAACCTTCCAAAAAGACGTGGCGCGGCACCCTTCCGAAAGCCGGTGTAGTGGAGAGGGAGCAAAGGATCACGTAAGGCGGCTAGTGACCAAACTGAGCGCACCGCAAAGTTAGGCTGCGTTCATGCTTTGCGGCAGTGTCCACCAGCGACCAGCAGCGCTTCGAGGGCTAGGGAAACATAGTCTGCTACCCTCCTATCTCCCCATACTCTACCAGCTGTCTGCTACCCTCCTATCTCCCCATACTCTACCAGCTGTCTGCTACCTCCTATCTCCCCATACTCTACCAGCTGTCTGCTACCCTTCTATCGCCTCATACTCTCCATCTGGACGCTGGTGGCAGAAACTAGATCGATATCTATACTTTCCTTGTCGCGGACGCTGCTGGACACACGAGCTGGTGGACCCTACCGGTCGCCGGTTAATGCAGCCGCAAAGTATGAACGCAGCCTTATAGAGGAGCTGTACCCAGTGCACTACTAAACTGTGG